CCCACCCTTCCCCTTCGCGGGGAAGGGATTAACGGGAGGGGCTTCCCTTCGAGTAAGCTACGACGTTGTTCAGATTGGCTTCCCCCCCGTGTCTGGGGGGGAGGCAGATTGGCTTCCCCCCCGGGTCGCGGTCGCTCCCCTCCGCGTCACGGCCGCTCCCCTCCCCGGAAGGGAGCTGCCCGGATGCTCCCCTCCCCATTGCGTATCTTGGTGTGACCCCCCCACCCCCCCCCTCGGGGGAAAGGGATAAAGAAGAAGGGGCTTCCCTTCGAGTAAGCTACGACGTTGCTCAGAATGGCTTCCACCCCGTGTCTGGGGGGGAGCAAATTGGCTCCCCCCCAGGTCGCGGCCGGTCTCCTCCGCGTCGCGGCCGCTCCCCTCTCCCGAAGGGAGCCGCCCGGGTGCCCTCCCCCCGCCGCGCATCCGGGTGTGATTTGCCCCCCTCCCCCCCCCCCTCGGGGGGAGAAATAAAAAGGAAGGGGTTCCCCTTCGAGTAAGCTGCGACGATGCTCAGATTGGCTTCCCCCCCGTGTTCGGAAGGGAACAGATTGGCTTCCCCCCCGGGTCGCGGCCGCTGGGTGTGACCCCCCCCCCCTCGGGGGGAAGGGATTACAGGGAAGGGGCTCCCCTTCGAGTAAGCTGCGACGTTGCTCAGATTGGCTTCCCCCCCGTGTCCGTGTGGGGAGCAGGGGGGGAGCAGATTGGCTTCCCCCCCGGGTCGCGGCCGCTCCCTTCGCCTGGGGAGAGTCGACCACCCCTTTCTCCCTCTTGGAGACGACGTGGCGGTGTCGTGGGCAGCTCCCCTCCCCCGAGGGGAGCCGACCACCCCTCTTGGAGCCGACGTGACGATCTCGTGGGCGACGACGACCCACGCAAGATGACGAGACCAGGATAGTTACGTCTTCCACACGCCGACAGGGTCGGCGGATTTTCCATTGGACATAGTAAGTGTTGGAGATGCCTTACGGCCGGTGCCGCCGACCCTGAAATGGGACGACGGCCACGACGGCGGCGGCGGCAGCGACGACGACGTTGACGTGGGGCAGGGTCCTCAGTGATGCTTCGTGGGGCCACTTCGGAGCGCGCTTGTAGGCCTCTGGGGGGCGCTTTGTGGGCCTGCTGGGAGCATCTTGGGGGCCTCTTGGGAGAATCCTCTTTGGGGGTCCCTTCGGGCTTCCTGGGGGTCCCTTGGGGCATCGTGGTGACCTCTTGGAGGTCGCTTGGGGCCTCCTGGGAGCGTCTCGGGGCCGAGGGCTCGAAATGTTCGTTCGGGTTCCCGTGTGGGCACCCTCTTGGTTTGGGGGGGGCCTCTTGGGCCGTCTGAGAGGCCTCTAGGGCAACCTCGGGGGGCTCTTGGGTCGTTTTGGGGCAGTCTTGGAAACCTATTGGGGACCTCTTGTGCCGATCTCGGTGGCATCTTGGCCCGTCTTGGGGTGTCGGGAAGCCGAAAAGGCGAGAACCCAACATTTTCCAAAAACTCGAAAGACAGTCATTGAATAATGCTTGCTGGGGTCCTCGTGGTGTGCTCTTGTAGGCCTCTTCGAGCGTCTTGGAAGCTGCTTGGGCTGTCAGTAGGCCATCTATGGCGTCTTGGACTGACCGTCTTGAAGAGAAGGGGTGTCCCTTCGACTGAACTAGTCGGCGTTGCTTGATTTCGCTGTCGTTGAGGTGTGACTGGCTCGCTTGAGGAGGGAGACCCAGTGAAACGGGGGAGGAGCGCGACGAGCAGAGGGAAAGGGGGGTCAAACGCGACGGCGTCAAGGACGACGATGACGACGACGACGACGAAGACGACGATGACGTCGAATCAAACAGAACAGCGTCTTCCACTCGCCTACAGGGTTGGCGGATTCTTGGACCCCTGGCCAGATCTCAATATATTTCAAGCGCCTTCCCATTTCAATGACCGATGTGTTTATGTGATGCGGTGTTGCTCTTTGGGCGTACCCGATGCTTCTACCTACTTCTTCCGAGTGGGGGGTATTCGCCAGGGAGCCTCGCCAAGCCGGGTGCCGAGGAACAATCGGGGGCAACGGTAAGGAGGGATAGGCATAGTCAGCCACGCGCAGAGGGGAGTAGGGGGAAGGGAGAAGGTGTTTTAGAAGCACCCCTGCTTCTTCGAAAGTGCGGGCCTTGTCTAAGAAGCAGCCTGCGTCTAAGAAGCCTTCCCCCCAGCCCCATATCCCTTTGTGCGCGCGGCCAAGATAGGGGCGAATAGCCAGGGGGCGAGCATTGCACGTATTCGCTGGGAGCCTCGCCAGGCCGGATGCAACGATGAGGGGGATAGGCACGGGGGGTTGACATCGGCCTCGAATGGTTGATATATCGAAGGTGCATCGACGATCTATCTTTGATAGCAGGGAAATGTGTCGACGATGTCTAGACGATACATGGGGCGGTCTGCATCGATTATACATGGGCGATGTATGGACCATTAGAGGTCGATGCCTCCCCCCAGCTCGACATGAGCCGCCCCAGCAGCCGTCGAAATCACCCTTGTGCCAGACCTTCTCGCCGTTCCCGAACACAAGAGGGCTGAACATGCCTACAGGAGCCCCTACCAGGGCCCAGTATGTCCCCAATGTTGCCCCAGATGGCCTCTGTGATCCTTGGCCATTCCGACTCAAGCGCAACTTTCTGCATCCATTGTACTCTACTTTCGGGCTCTTGCGGCTTCCGTGGCTTACCCACGTGCGCGAGCAGACTTGGTCGTTTCCCATCGACGAGAACCCAGATGACTACCCGAGCCTTGTGTTTAGCGGTGTCATTTGCCAACAGCATGCAGGGTGCGAATTCCGTGCAGATCCCTTACGACGCGCATTCCCTTCAACGCACGCCAGCATGGACCTATTTGGGATGTGGTGCAGCACTTCCGCAGTGGTATTGCCATGTGGGTGCGGAGACATTCTATGTCAATTGTGGTCGGATCCTGTCTGGCTCCATCGACACTAAAGCTGATCAGTGTGCAGTGAGATGCTCTGCCCTTTCCGGGTATGTCGCCTTCTCTGTACACGACACAACGGCTTGTTTTTGCCTCAAGACCACGCCAACACCGGCGGATGACACTATCGCTGCTTCTTCTTGCACCAACGCGGTTGCGGTTGAAAATAATATTGTTTATGCTTTAGGTGGGGCGCAGACGCCAGCACCAACGCCCGCACCAACGCCCGCACCAACGCCCGCACCAACGCCGGAACCGACGCCCGCACCGACGCCCGCACCGACGCCCGCACCAACGCCAGCACCGACGCCAGCACAGGTGGCGACGAGCTCGGCCGTTGGCGATCCCCATCTGCAGAATGTACATGGCGAGAGGTTCGATCTGATGGCGCCAGGCAGCCATATTCTGATCAACATTCCACGAGGAGAGCGCGCTGAAAAAGCATTGCTACGTGTGCAGGCCGATGCGCGCCGACTGGGGCAACAGTGTGCGGATATGTACTTCCAGGAAGTGAACGTGACCGGCCTTTGGGCAGAGGCGAAACACGCTGGAGGGTATCATTACAGCGTGTCGCAGAGCGAGGTCGATATTCCAGAGTGGGTTGCCGTTGGGAAGGTCGAGCTGAAGATCGTTCGCGGGTACACGGACACTGGCTTGTCGTACTTGAACGTGTTCGTGAAGCATTTGGGTCGAGCGGGGTTCGTCGTCGGAGGTCTTCTGGGCGAAGATGACCACAGCGACGTGAGCACGCCCGAGGCCGGGTGCGTAGAGCAGATGAGTCTGGAGCTGCACGCGCAACGGTCCCAGGCTCAGGCGGGCTCGACCGCAGAGGGCACACTCGCCTGATATTCTTTTCTTTTGCATTTTTGTTGTTGAAGCGATGATCAGACCCGCCAAAACAGCCAGGGGGCCCCAAGATAGCCTCCATGGGGCCCAAAAGGAGGGCCGCCGGGGAGCCCAGGGCGCCTTCAAAAGGCCCCCAAAAGAAGGCTCCAAGGCTCCAAGAGGGCCCCAAGAGAGCCCCAAGGCAGGCCAAGCCAGTGATCTCGTGCCCACACGCAGGGGGGGGCAGAGAAGAGAAGGGAGAGAGGATAGGGGGCGGAGGAGGGAGAGGGAGGGAGAGAGAGGGAGAGGGAGGGCGAGAGAGAGAGAGAGAACCGAGCAACAACGATCTGACCCCTTGAAAAACATGCGCCCGAATATGCCGCCATCAACGCCCAAGAAAGCCCCAAGAAACCACCAGGATAGCCACAACAGGGCCTCACGACACGAAAGAACCAGCGATCTCACGTCCTATCATAAAAGATAGCGCCTTCCGTTCACCTGCTAGGCAGGTGACGGAAAGAGCCGAAAACGGACAATCACCTCCGGGGGCTCCAGCGCCAATCCAAGGAGTCCGCGCGGACCTCCCAACGTGCACGTTTACAGTCAGCCCTTTGGTTGGCTCCTTCCGCCAGCGCAGACGACTTCCGCCTGGCCGCCGACGCAAGAGTGGTTACGGCCAGCCCGCACAGTAAGGATGCGCGACTGTCCAAGGTCGCCCCTGGCATCTTCCCCCGTCGGCCCATCCGTGGCCGCTTCCGCTGGCCGCGCCCCGCTCGCGAGGCCTTGGCGTGGCCCCTCCCAAGATCCCTTGCGCGTGGATCCGCGCGCCCTTCCTGTGCGGGTGCACGGCGTGTGGCCTGTGGCTCCTCGAGGGCGGCCGGCGCCCCCCCTTTCGGGCGCCCCCGCCCGAGGAGGGAGAGAGGGGCGCGGGAGGGGGAGGGGGAGGGGGAGGGGAGCGTGGGAGGGGAAGGGGAAAGAGGAAGGGGCCCTGGGACGCACAAAGAGATACACACGCAAATAACAGGGCTCCCCATATCATTTCCACCATTGTGTGGGTTTCTGTCTCCCCCCCCCACTTCCCCGAGTTTCCCATATTTTCTGGGGAGTCGACGATTCATTGTCTCTGTGTGCTTCTCTCCCTCCCGAGAAGAGGCATCCCATCGGGAGGCCTTCGGCCACCGTCGGCCCCCTGGGGGGGGGGCCTTCTCCTCGGGCGCCCTCGGCACGTCCACGAACGAAGAGCTCCGCCTGGGGCGAAGAGAGCCAGTTCCGGGGAGGGGGTCGGACCTGTGGGGGTCCACGCTGTCAGAGGAATGGCCGCGCTGGAGTCATGGGCGAGTGAGGAGGAGGAGGAGGAGGAGCAGGAGGAGGAACAGGAGCAGGAGCAGGAGCAGGAGGAGGAGGAGGAGGAGGAGGAGGAGCAGGAGGAGGAGGAGGAGGAGGTTGTTCTAGGCCTCCTAGATGGGGTCGGAGTAGATGGGGTCGGAGGATCGCGCCGCATCGCCGATGCATCGGCGATGTATCGGCGATGCGGCGCGATCATCCGACCCCATCTACTCGGACCCCATCTAGGAGGCCTCTAGTTGTCAAAAAAATTGCCGCGCTGGAGTCATGGGCGAGTGAGGAGGAGGAGGAGGAGGAGGAGGAGGAGGAGGAGGAGGAGTGAGGAGGAGGAGGAGGAGGTGGAGGAGGAGGGACCAGGATAGGATGGCTTTGGGCCCGCTCCAGGAGAGGACGCCGCAATCGAGGGAGGACAAGCCACCCCGACCCCCCCAAACGGCCCCGGCCGTTTGCTTAACGGCCCTGTCCTGCTCGGTTCCTTCCGTGGGTGCGTTTTCCAAACAGGGTCGTTCGTCGGGGTCCTTATTCTGAGGATGTTGTTTTGTTTCTGTTCTCTACACAAGGTTCGGCGGCGAGCCCGAGGGGAAGTGATAAGGGGCGGGCTTTCTCAGAAGGCTCGGAAGTCCTCCAGCCTTCGGTGAAGTTTGCTAAGCCTTCCAAGACGTATCAGAAGGCCGAAGGGCTTCTGAGAAGCCTTGCCGCCTTCAGAGAAGGCCTTCTCATTCTCACTTCCCCCCCTCGCTGGCCGCCGAGAGGTGGGTCTCTCCCTCACCCCAGGGAGGTCAGGAGGGGGAAACACGCACAGACACAAGTGATCGTCGACTCCCAGGAAAATGTAGGAAAACATAGGACCTGGGGGGAAGACGATGACTCTGAGAATACGGTAACATATGGGGGAGTCCTTGGATGTGTGTGTGTGTGGTGTGTGTGTGTGTGGTGTGTGTGTGTGTGTGTGTCTGTGTGTGTGTCTGTGTGTCTGTGTGTCTGTGTGTCTGTGTGTCTGTGTGTCTGTGTGTCTGTGTGTCTGTGTGTCTGTGTGTCTGTGTGTCTGTGTCTGTGTGTCTCTGTGTCTGTGTGTCTGTGTGTGTGTGTGTCTGTGTGTGTGTGTCTGTGTGTGTGTGTGTCGTGTGTGTCTGTGTGTCTGTGTGTCTGTGTCTGTCTGTGTGTCTGTGTGTCTGTGTGTCTGTCTGTCTGTGTCTCTGTGTCTCTCTGTGTGTCTCTGTGTCTCTGTGTCTCTGTGTCTCTGTGTCTCTGTGTCTCTGTGTCTCTGGGTCTCTGTCTCTGTGTCTCTGGTGTCTCTGTGTCTCTGTGTCTCTGTGTCTCTGTGTCTCTGTGTCTCTGTGTCTCTGTGTCTCTGTGTCTCTGTGTCTCTGTGTCTCTGTGTCTCTGTGTCTCTGTGTCTCTGTGTCTCTGTGTCTCTGTGTCTCTCCCTGTGTCCTTGTGTCTCTGTGTCTCTGTGTCTCTGTGTCTCTGTGTCTCTGTGTCTCTGTGTCTCTGTGTCTCTGTGTCTCTGTGTCTCTGTGTCTCTGTATCTCTGTGTTTCTGTGTCTCTGTGTCTCTGTGTCTCTGTGTCTCTGTGTCTCTGTGTCTCTCTGT